ACTTGGGCCAGTGAAACAACGTCCTCCACAACTAGACTGAAGGACAAAACAACAGCAACTTGTCTGTTCCCCTTCCCCCAATTCCCCAGCACTGTTCCCATCCTCCCAATTCCCCAATAAAAAAGTAAAAAAAAAAAAAAGAAAAGAAAAGGTGTGAACACATCCATGCTCACTGAAGAAGGAGCAGAGTAGTTTACTTTAGTGCTAGAGGGTCCAGGGCCACAGTGAAAGGCAGTTTAAATCCCAAAGGAAAATCCTGCTCAGGGAGACATCATTGATCTCTTAGCAGCACTGTGCATCTGTTCACTGAAGGCATGGGGTGATGTGACTTTTAAGGATATTGACTCTTTCCCCAATGCGAGGTAGTCATATGATTTAGGGAATAGTGACTCTATTCCCAGCTCCAGAGTAAGCCCCTCCTCCTAACCGGCCTAATCCAATCAGAAAATTGTATTCTGTAAAATGGTGGTTGCCAGGGAGAGAGAGGATTGGGGGAAATGGGAGATGCTGGTCAAAGGGTACAAACTTTCAGTTATAAGGTGACCAAGCTCTGGGGATCTAAGGTACAGCATGGTGACTGTAGTTAACAATACTGTATTTTTTAAGAGTAGAGATTTTCTAATGTTCTTATCATAACAACACCACAAAATGGTGATTATGTGAAGTATGTGTTAACTAATCATATTGTGGTAAACATTTCACAATACATATGTGTATCAAGTCATCACATTGTATACCTTAAATTTACATGATGTTGTATGTCAATTATATCTCCATTAAGCTGAGAAAAAAGAAAGAAAGAAAAAAAAGCAAAGTCCTACTTTTGCACATGATTGTTTCAGAGACTGGCACACAACCCCACGTTAAGCCAGTGAGAACATGGCAGTTCTCTTGGCCATGGTGATTGGTTCAGAGGTGGGTGTGTGACCCAAGTTGTTAAATTATAATAAACCCCAGAATTTTGTTTGGTAGTTGAGATAAAGAAAGCCCTCTCTTTTCTTCAGGAAGATACGATGTATGGAACTGTTCCAGCCATTTTGTCACTGTGATAAAAGTGAGTCTGAAAATGAAAACATTGTGTGGAAAAAAGCAGAATCAAGGCAATTGCAGAGAAATGGAGTCAGCAACCCTGATCAAGCTGTTCCTAAAACTGGTTTTGACCAATTTTCATTCATATGAAGGAACAAATTCCTCTTATTCTTGACATCATTTAAAATGGAGGTTCTGTTTCTTGCAACTGAAAGCATTCTAGCTGGTACATCGAGCTTTATGCTTAAGTTGAAATAAGAGCAGGCCCTAATGGGGAACCCCTGCTCTCTCTATGAGCTCACCTTAAAGCCAACTCAGCACTTAGGTTCACTCTTAAAGAACAAACAAACAAATCAAGATCTAACTGCACGCTATGTTAATGAGAAATGAGTATTTTACTCAAATTATTATGGGAACCCTGGCGAGAGAATCTATGTGGCAGATTAACAAAAAGCAAAAACTCGGGCCNGGCGACTCATGGCAGCCCAGCTCCAGGTTGAGCTGTTGTTCAGCATCTTAGCTGTGGAGGGCAGTGTCACTGGCCCTCCTATGTGGGATCCGAACCGGGGCCCTCTGGCATCCCAAGCGAGTTCTTAACCATCGCGCCACTCGGCCGGCCCCCAAGCCAACTCTTAACCAACATGCCACTCGACCGGCCCCCCAATACTCTTTCTTTAGTGCTTAAGGCAGTTTGAGTTGGATTTGATAACATTTGCAATTGAGAGCATTTTGTAACACGACTAAAGGATAGTGGGAGATATAGATCCTGGAAGGCTCTGAAATGCCTTGGGTACTAGGTTAAGGAATAAGAATTCTTACTTCAAAGTCATCAGGAGTTCTCAAAGTGGGGGTGGCTGTTTAGATTCTTATATCTTAGATATCTTGCTGGTGCCAGAGTGGAGGCTGGATTAAAGTAAGACAATAGTGAAAACAGGGGACAATTAGGTGACAGAGTGGAAGTTGTTACAATTGTCCAGGTGATAAGTGGTGACCGCTAAGACAGGATGTGAATTTTGAGGGGACAGAAACATTCAGTCCATAACACACACCCTGTGGTGTACTCCCACAAAATAAATACACTGAGTCTCTGTTGAGCGTGTCTTTAATTGAAGACTTCCTCTGAGCTTCCAGACCAGGTCTTTGAATGATCCAAGCCATCTCTCCCTGCTTCAGGGTTGTCCAAGAAGCCACTGGAAAATGCAGACTCCCAGGCCCACCCAGACACTCCAAGTTAGGGTCTCTGGGATTGGGCCTAAAAATATGCATTAAAAAAGAAACTTTATTGAGGAACAGTGTGTTTTTCCAGGACCCATCAGCTCCAAGTAGTTGTCTTCCATCGAGTTGTGGAGGACGCAGCTCAGTGGCTTATGTGGGAATTGAACCAGCAACCTTGGTGTTATAAGCCTGCACTCTAACCACCTGAGCCAACCGGTGGCCCCCAAAAATGTGCACTTTTAACCAGTTCTCCTCTCTTCCACCTGCCTGCCCAGAGGATTCTAGTAGCTTCCAAATCTTGAGAATCGCTGCACTAAGGTTCTGCATCCTCCGGAGATTTTTGGAACCCGATTTATCTCCTTAAAGCTGACATTTCTATAATGACATTAAAACTGAAGCTGTGTGATATAACAAAGGCAGAATAGGGTGTGTGATGTGCCATCTTTTATTATTTTTTTGACAGCTTTATTGAGGTATAATTGGCAAGTAAAATTGTAAGATATTTAAAGTGTACATCACGATGATTTGACGATCTATGTATACATTGTGAAAGATTCCTCCCACCTAGTAAATGAGCACATCCATCACCGCTCAGATATATAGATACATGTAGATATATATCTATATATTGTGAGAACATCAATATTCTCCTCTCAGCAAATGTCAATTACACAATACAGCGTTATCAACTATAATCACCATGTTATACATTAGATCCCCAGATCTTAGTCATTTTATAGCCGAAAATTTGTAGCCATCTACCAACCTCGCCCTTTTTCCTCCCACCATCCCCAGCTCCTGGCAACTACATATCCACTCTCTGTTTCTATGAATTTGACTTTTTTTAGGTTCCACATCTAAGTGATGCCATGCGGTACTTCTCTGTCTCTGTCTGACTCATTTCACTCAGCATAATGTCATCAGGGTCCATCCACATTGTTGCAAATGGCAAGATTCTAGATTCTGTCCTTCTTAGGGCTGAATAATTCCACTGTGAACCACATCTTCTTTGTCCGATCATCCACAGGGATGCTTAGATTGTTTCCATATTTTGGCTATTGTGAATAATGCTGCAGTGGAATGCACACATCTCTTCATGATCCTATTTTCATTCCTGGAATGTGTCTTCTGACAGCAGTAGTGTTTGGAGCGTGGATTTAATGAGCTCCTACTTCAGTGAGTAGAGGAAGGAAGAGAAAAGGGGAATATAATCCAGGTGGACCAGGATTTTTAAACATAGGGTTTCTGTTTGAAAAGGGAGGGAGAGAGACGTAGCTTCCCTAGACGCCGTTTTAAGTCAAATACGTGGATCCCCGTGTCTTCATGTTTGGTGACCACTTACTGTTCCCCATTGAAGGTAACAGTTTGTGAAAGAGAATTGATAAAACTCTTCTGGAAGGAACTCTTTAATATTTTAATAGTGATATTATTAATTATCATCATTAATAATTCAGTATTAATATTTTAATACCTTGGGTGATATAATCACTTTTCAACTATTTGGCCCCAGTTTCCTTTTTTAAAAAAGATTTTATTGGGGAATTGGGGGAGGGGAACAGCGTTGGGGAATCGGAAGGGGAACAGACAAGTTGCTGTTGTTTTGTTCTTCAGTCTAGTTGTGGAGGACGTNAAAATGGAAGTGCTTCTTTCAGGGCTTCATTCTCAGGAAGATAACGTCATATTGAGGTGTGTGAGCCTCAGAACACTGCTCTGGAAATTGGTGTGCACACTGCCTCTTCTGGAAGTGAGACTGTTAAGACGGAGTTGAAATGGCCAGGGAGGCCAGGCTTTTCTTTTTCTTTCATTTTCTGAACATTTTCCTATTATGACGGATGAGCCAGCTTCTACAGACTTGGTCCCTGGTGCTGCCATGTGGCTGTTGTTTAAAATGTTCCCTCTTGTCTGTCATCTCAGGGCTGCGCCTCCATCTTTTCTGGTTCATTTCTGATTCACGGGATCCATGTTGTCACTATTTCAGGGAGTTCTTAAGTTCTGGGTCCTGGGTGGAAAAAGGGGTGACCATCCACGTTTCATTGAGGAGCCATGGCCCAGAAATAGTAAACATTTGCTTGACAAGTGATTTATTACCTTTCACACCATGATTACAGTTTAACTTTTCACTGAACGCACTGCTCCATCTACAGAGATAAAAATAAACACGTGGGGACGTGTGTGACGGTCCTTTCACGGGCCCCCTCCCCCACATTCTCTCTGGCTCCCCACTGATCTACTCTCGCCACAGCACTTTGGTTTGAAAACAAAATAAAGTAGTCATGTCGCTTGCCTGCATAACACACTCAGTGGCTCCCTAGTGCCCTCAGGACTCAGCCCACGCTCCCTACCCAAGCGCGAAAGTCCCGCAGGGTCTGGCTGTTCATTATCTCCAGCTGCATGTCATACCTGCTGGCTTTGAGGCTGGGGGACCCAGAGCCTGGATGCGTCACTGAGGGGCTAGTCGCAGAAGCAGAACCGCATGGTATTGTGGACTAAAGACTACGTTATGCAAACTAGAACACACACATTTATGGAAGACGCATGAGAAGAGAGGTCCCTAAGGGGAGCTGAGGAGGAAGAGAATTCACTCACAGGCACCGTAGAAGAGAATGAGCTGGGACTTGTAGGGAAATCCAGGAGCTTGGTGCCCGCAGCTGATGTGGGGGCCCGCGAAAGGGACGGATGGAGAAGTTGATGGCTGCTGTCAGTGTGAATTCAAAGCTAAGTGTCCAGAGGCGGCTTGACATCAGGACCAGCAGGACCAGGGAGAGGTAGAGACTTTACAGGGAAGGACAGGGCAACCCAGGAGCTGCGCGCGCCTCTGTGCCTGTTTGCCTCTCCCCACTCCTCACCAGAGACGATGACCTGTCCAGTGTGATGGCTGGTGCTTCACGGGGGTCTCCATGGGCCCATACCACTTCACTTTGGGGCAACTCGAGCCCAGAACCATACAGAGAAAGGCAGTCTGGGAAACCTGGTTCCTGGCGTAACCAAGTTGCCAATAGAATAATCCAGCAAACCGGGATGGGGTGAAGAATAAAAAAGGCATGGTCCCTGTACCCAAGGAGAAAAGCAGAGACAACCTAGGAGGATATTTGGGAAGTTTGCTATGTGACGCCTGATGGAATTGTCTCCATATCTCCACCACATCTTCAGTAAAATCCACACCCCTGGGCTATATGTTCAAGTTTATTTCGCTTCTTTCCTTTTCCCTCCTTCCGTCCCTCCCTCCTTTTCTTCCCTTCTTCCTTAGAGATGTCTTGAGTCTGGACCTAAGTTGGCCTGGAAACAACAAACCCCGCAAAAGGTGGCCCAAGCACATACAGTTTCCATTGTCTTCAAAAGGGACATGGGTTTTCAATGTTGAGTAATCACAACCCTCTTCTTTTATGCTAACTTTCAATCTTGTATTTGAAAATTACAAAAGCAATACCTCCTTACTGAAAATCAAGCAACACAGAAGTATAATAAAGCAAAAAAGTAAAGCTTATGTCTCCCTTGCTCCCTCCCAGCCCCATTTACTCCTTGTTTCATCATTAAAAATGTGGAAAGCCCAGAGAGGTTAAGTGCTTTGCCCCAAATCACACAGCACTCCTTTTGACCTTATAAAGGAGCTTCTTATGAGTGACCCATCTCTTAAAAGGCCACGCTCTCAATGCCTGTTCTCTTTTTTTTTTTTTTNAAATAAATAAATAAATAAAAGGATCGCTCTCACCAAGCTGCTAGTGTCTGTAAACCCAACATTAGCTATTCATTTCTGACTCCAGCCCTTAATTCCAGGTGTCCACTTTTAAAATAGTTGTAATCCAGAAAAAAACAAACATGGAAACCCAAGACATATGCTTGAGTCTGAGGCCTGCTACCTACCAGCTGTGTGACTCAGTGAAGCTCTTTATTCTCCCCTTTGTAAAGGGAGGGACAATAAAACTAATTTTATAAGGGGATTGTGGGATATGGAGATTAATTTTGTGTCGGCTCTGTTTAACACATAGCAGCTACTCTATGAAAAGCTACAGTTTATATGGTTAATAACTAGAAAGAAACATCATAAATGAAATAAATGAGGAATGGAGGTATTCAAAGAAATTTGTAGCAGAAATTCTTGAGCATCCCAGGACATTAATTTTGTAAGATCAATTCTTCTTCCACGCTCGTGGTCCGTCTTCGGAGAGGCACCGCCTGCTTTTCCTAGAAGTGTAATTTCGCCTCCGTTGAGTTCACATAAAACACAAAAGGCGAAACATGGATGGTCCCCAAATATTTCTGTAATCATCCCCTTGTAGCCAGCTGTTGCTGTGATAATGCTGCATAGCAATCCCCAAATCTCAATGGTTTACAACAAACAACATTTGTTTCTCTTTCCCACGGATCTGGGTATTAGCCAGGGTTCTCTGGGTTTGGAACCAGGGCCATTCCATGGGACCAGGACGACAGAGCAGTGGCTACCTGGAGGGAAGCCAGGTCGCAGCACACAAGTATATTTAAAGCCTCTGCTTGCGTCACCTCTGCTCACAGGCCATCGGCCAAAGCAAATCACAGGGTTATGCCTCACGTCCATGGGGTCAGGGAGTCTGCTCTGCCTACACTGTAGCGATTTCGAGAGCTGGAGGGAAGGAAGAGTCCTGAACAAATAATACTATCTACCGCCCCACCACAACGCGCATATCCATACATTAGTCTCAACGATTATTCAAGGTATTTTGTATTTTCAGCATGTACAACCTATTGGGGGCAATGATTCCCTTCTTTATTATTGGTTAGGAAAGTATACTTTCCCTGATGTATTTTTTTCCTACTGTAAAACAGAAGTTCATTACTTCTGGCAAATTTACCATACCGATTTAAGATGATAATTTATGAGAGTAGCAGGGAAACTGGGTTTTATAGTAGAGCTCTCTGTACTCTCCTCACAGTTTATCTATGAATGTAAACCTGTTCTCAAATAGAAAGTTTGTTTTAAAAGTAATAGAACTTAATGCAAAAAAATACACGCACCCCGATGTCCATTAAAGCATCACTAGTGATAGCCAAGATATGAAAGCAACCTGATGTCCATCAATAGACGGATGGATGAAAAATATGATGAAATATTATTCAACGATAAGCAAGAAAGAAATCTTGCCATTTGTGACAACACAGAAGGACCTAGAGGGCATTATACTAAGAGAAATAAGTCAGAGAAAGACAAATACCTTATGGTTTCACTTATATGTGGAATCTAAAATAACAAAACAGGTGAATAAATAAAACAAAATAGAAGCAGACCCATAGATATAGAGAACAAGCTGATGGTTGCCACAGGGGAGGGAGTGGGGCATGTGAATTAAAAAAAGAAAATTAAGCCAATAAAAAATCAAGTCATACAAAAAAAAATCCACGTTAATTTTAAAAAACAATAGAAATGGGGTCATCTCTTGAGAATAAAGGAGGAAGTTTAAGCATAGATTTTCGTCACATTGCCTCACATTTATTAGTTTTGTGACCCTG